GCAATCTTTTTCGTTCTTAAAAATATTAATTTAAACGTTAAAGAATATTTTTAAAAAACGTCTGATCGCATGCCTGATGCCGAAATTTTTAAAATTGAAGTCACAAATAATTTTGTACGCATATGCCCGGGAAAATCCATAATAAATCCGTACACATAATGCATAATCGAAACGATTTTATTTTATACCTATATATAATGTGTAGAAACTTCGCTTGTTTTGTCCAATGTTGTATCAACGTTTTCTACGATGCATCAGAGAAACATTTTTTATGTCTCTTTCTCTTTTTTTAATATTTATAAAATACTATATTTTTCAGATTTAAATATAAAATTATTTTCATACATATCGCTTCGAATAAGAGTTCCGGAAGATATATTATCTACTCTTTTTTAAACAATTACACTGATCTAAATCTTTATATCTATGTAAGAATGATGAAACGGAATGAACGGTTGACGTACAAATGGCATAATTCTCTGCTTACAGATCCAGTTACATGTTCTTCGAAAGTTCTTGTTTTAGGTGGATGTAACTCTCTCTTTCTCTCTCTTTCTCTTCTCCCTCCCCTTTCCCTATCTTCTTATCGCTATCTAACTTGTTCGATTACTTTCTCTCGTTTCAAGAATTCTGTTTTCGTCGATAGCGGATAGACCGGCAAGTGCAGTACTTTTCGGATTTCTTCTGACGTCAGTCTTTGATCTCATCCGATTTGTGTGTGTGATTCGATCTTTGAATCTATCGAGATTTCTATCACGCCTGTTAAAGTTTCTTTGGCAACGCCCGTTTATCAATAAATCATAAAATGGAACGGATATTATATGTAAGTGTATCTCATATTTTTCTTTAATATAAACGGCAGAAAATAACTCCGAGCTGCTTAGAATTGAATAAATTTTCTAGCTTTCAATGAATAATTTTTGCCGATTAAATCGTACTTCCCAGAGCCAAAGTTTCGCAGCATTGATAATATAAATCGGCGTATTTCCGAAACTCCACAGTTGTAGAGAATTATAGAACTTGAATATGATGTCGTTTAGACCGTTGCCGCAAAACCTGAACTCCCTCTTGGCTATTCAGTTATGAGATCTCGACAGTGTTTCCTGCACTAACGAGCGAACGCAAGCGACGCTCCGTTCATCCATCGTAATTTTATTGATTTAATGCCGCGCTATTTGTCCTTGTTTTTGTACATATGACATTTCGTTGACTATTATCGCTATCAGACAGGAATATTTCTGTTGCCAATACATACGTATTTATTCAATTAAATTCGCAATTATCGGATCTCAACATTATTGTTTGATGACCGCGTAATTCGTATCATCTGCAATGATGCTTTGGAACAATTAACGAATAAAACTTTTGAATGGAACGTGAAAGACGATTTTACAAAAATAATTACAGCATCAAGTCTTTGAATTTGGTGCAGAGTATTTCTTTCCTAAAAAAATATACTCCTATTTGAATGTATAAACCATCAGACAAATTCTAATTAATCAGTTATAAAACTTTCCCTTAAATATAAAAAAGAACTTGTATGTAAATGTGATTTAAGGGGGCAGTCTAGGTCTATTTCGCCATATTTTCAAGAATTTTTTTGT